TGCAGCAGACCTGTGTGCACGGCTGTTTTGTCCCTCCTGGTTAGCTTCTGTCAGGGCGAAAGTATTATTTTACGCCACTGTTTTGAGGTGAAGAGACAGGGCTGCTCCCTTCCTCAAAGACTGCCAGGGGAGAGGATGGTATGGCTGTATCAGTAGCATCTCTGTGGCCCCTCCAGCACTGCTGAGAATGAATTAACTGTGTCTGGCTCCAGGCCAGGCCCCGGAGGTGGAGCTGGCTCTCTTACAAACTCTTATGCTATTTGTAGCATCTCTCCAGTCCCCAGGGCTCAGGCTGCTGGCTGAGAAACCTGCTGGTATTGGTTTTGGTTTGTTTCTAAGACATTTCTCAGCATTGTGGGTGCACAAGAAGCTGAAAACTCCTGTTTCAAAACCCCAGCCAGAAGGACAGGTGCTGCCGTTGCTATTTACGGAGCACCATCATGTTTGGGGGGAGTCTCCAAGCTAGAAAGATAAACCCATCCTGGGTTTCCTAGGTCTTAAAGGTTCTGAAATGCTAAGCAAGACTCCCTTTTCAGGGTGCACTGGGTGGCACTGTTGCAGAGCTGGGTGCCGACGAGCAGAGCTCCCTGCAGAAGCAGCCAGCCTGCGAAGGCGTCCTGCTCCCGTGCGCTGCCCTGGCTGCTGGCAGAGGGGCTGGGCCAGCATCTCTCTGTGCAAGGCAGGACCTCAGCAGCCTTTCTGACCTGGTGTGGCTGGGGTAGAGATCTTTAGCTCAGCTTCCTAATCTTCATTTGACATGTTTAACACTTATTTTTTTCCAGGTGATAGTGCTAATGTTTTTCTTTTTTTTTTTTTTTCCTCAAGGAAGACAAGAGGCACGGTGTCCTCACATGGAGACCTTTTGGAGCAGGGAAAGCACTACCAGGGAAGCAGAAGAAGGGCCCTGACCTGGGGCCGAGGAGAGCTGCCTGGGTAATCTCCGGCCCTGATTTCAGGGCCATTGCTGCATATGAAAGCAGTGCCGTCAATGGCCTCCTTTTCCCAGTGACATTTCTGGCAGCCGGCAGTTCCTCAGCTGCAGGTTCAAAGCCAGACACAGAATCACAGAATTGATTTGGTTGGAAGAGACCTCTGGGATCACTGAGCCCAACCTTTGCCCTAACACCACCATGTCAACTACACCATGACACTAAGTGCCAAGTCCAGTCTTTTCTTAAACACCTCCAGGGATGGTGACTCCACCATCTCCCTGGGCAGCCCATTCCAATGCCTGCAAGAAGCCATTCCATGCCTGCAAGAAGTGCTTCTCAAATCCCGCTTTCCCCTAACACCTATCGACTTCATCCCAGGTGTCAAACCAACAGGTAACAGCAGACAGTGCCAACATGCCATGAGTCAGTCATATGCATCATCTGGCCAGAAACAGGAGTATCCATCGGCTGGGGGGCGCTAGGCAGAGGACAGCAGCCGCTTTGCTAACACTCTGGCATCCCTTGCTCTGTTTTTTTGCCAGTGCTGAGTAACTAGACAGGGTTACTACAGGGCCATCACTTGGGAGGAAAGTGACACATGGAAATATCGTGATGGTCAACATTATCTAAGAGAAATCACATCCCTCTGCCTACAAACATTCCTCCAAATGCTGGGTCTTGCCCATCAGCCCAGCAGAGCGTCAAGCATCATTCCCAGTAACAGTACACAGCTCACATTTGGTACAGCACACCTCCTGGCCAGTTCTGCAGCTCTTTGAGATCTTCAGCCACATCAGAACAGCAAACCTAGGACATCAGCCACTCATGATAGAGGTAAAGACTTTTGAAGCCCAGAGGAAGAAGCATACACTCCCACCCTCTGTGTAGCTCATTGCAGAGATAAACACATACAGGACTACCAATGAGGGATCTCCATAGCAACTCGCTGCTTCTTGCTTCCTCTGCCTGAACTGAACCACTTCCTCTGCAGCTCTTGCCACTCAGAAGAGACTTCTGGTTTCTCTTGGCTTTTAGAGATGATCTTTATCTACTTCACCTGCAATAAACTTCTTGCCTTGTAAACTCTCCCTTTGCTGCTAGTGGAGGTTTCATGTTGGGGCTAAACCAAGAACCACAGGTGCCATGAGGTCTGGGACACACACTGGGACTTGCCACTGGTTTGGGACTTCTTGGTTAAGATAGAAAGAACCTGAAGCAATCTGGAGTATCCAGACTCACAGTGCTTGCTTGGGAGACCCCAGGAGGCCCCTTGCTGTGTTAAGCTGAACCAGAGCAAACACAACATGCGGAAGACCACCTCTTGCTTCCCAGTGTCATCGCAGAGAACCATGCTGATCTGAAGGGCAAAACAGAAATACTTTACTAAAAGGCTAAAAGGTGTACACCAAGGAGCTGGACCATTACTGTCTTCCAAAGCACTGTGAGAAACATGCAGAAAAAGGTGGGACACTGCCATGGCCTCAGCAGCTGGCCCTTGGAAAAAAAAAAAAAAGTCAGCACCTTTGGCAGCCTAACTCTCCTCACGGGATACCACAGCAGCAATGAGCATGGACTTCCAGGGTATTTCACTGAACTTCCTTCTGTCTCCTCCATCCTCCAGCTTTCAAGGTCACTGTCAAACGGAATTGAGATTTCTTCCCCCTGTTACTCACCACCAAGACAACCACCTGCCCTCAATGCCTGCATTAATGCAACACTACAGTGAGAAACAAAGGTGTGGCTCCCTCAGGGAACACATTTCAGAACCAAGTTTTCACTGGACACTGAATGGGTGCTGGAAGCTCAATATGGGGAGGACCTGCTCAGTCATCTTGGCTTTGCTCCACTGGCTCAGAGTTCACATGATCATCTGCACCGCACAGAAACTTGAGATACTTGCTCTTCCTGCACCAGCGCCCTGCTCCTCTCACCCCCAGACATCCACCCAGAGCTGCCCACCCAGGAAGAAACCAGATCAGGGACTGACAGCTCACCTCAGCACTTCTGAGGGGGCAGAGGAAGGGACTGGGGCTCATATGCTGTGAAATCCTAACCCTGACTCGGTCACGAGGTCATTGCATGGCCTCAGACACTTCTTGGCTTGCAAGTCTCCGTTCTGCCTGTAAGAAGAGCTAATCCTTATTATCAGGCAGCTGTAGCATTTGGATTAGTTATACGCAGGAGCACTGAGGCAAAGAATAATGCACAGCACCACTCTCTCGATGCTGTCATTTGAGGGAAACCACGTAAAACACAAACACTGACGGTGTGTGTGTTTGCAGAGGCTCTCTAGCTGCCTGCTGATGATGAAACAGGTCATGCTGCCCGTTCTGCCCCAGGCAGTTCTCACTAGTCCCACTACCTGCATTAGTTACTGAGCCCAATTAAATCCCAACCTCAGATTCAAAGGGGGTGGGAAAACCAATGTAGAAACAAGCACTGGAGACACAGGCATGTGCTTCACAAATCTCACAGTTTATTTTTCTCTCTGTGCAAATCAGTGCTACTTAACATTACTCACATTTCACAGTGCAGGGGGCAGAAGTGATTACAACACTGCTTAACCTGCAGTTCAGTGGGATCGTTCTGGGTCCTGGATCCCATGCAATCTCTATGTGCCAATGATCTGGAATAGAAAAGAACTGCATGGCTAGCATTTCCAGTAGTTGTTACTTGTAATACAAGCTACCTCCACAGCACCTCCAAGGGAAGCCTGCTTTCCTCCTCAGGCACCACAGCATTCACAGCTGCATGCAGACTCCAAGCATTTGGAACCAGTGGCAGGTAAAAAGTTTATGGCACAGTTTCCAAGTCAGAGCCAGCAGAGACAGACTTGGAAAAATGATTGAAATTCTGTATATGCCCAAGAGGAAAGACCCTTGGGGATACTGTGCAGAAGTAGCTCATACCAGTTATCAGGAGGTTCTCTAGGGAGATGATCATGTGTGACATGGAAATTTCATTGTGCGATATTAAAAAAAAGCAGCGCATCACTTAAAACACCCTTCCAGAGCTCATAGTCAGGCCACATTGGCTGCACAGTGTCCCGTCACTGTTCAAGTGCAGAGAGGATGAAACATAAAACCGATTTGGGAAAGCAAGAGCAACTCCCTCACCAGCAAGGAGGAGCCTAGCATGGGACAGTGACATGGGGAAAGCAGGGGGATGGCTGGACAGTGTCTGTATCACAGCTGAG